GTTATGCAATAATGTAACTAATTTAGTTAATTTTAATTAAATTTATTTTTTATATAGAAAGATGAATTTAAAATTTATAAATAAGTAAACTAATTGTTTAAATACTATAAAGCACGTTTAGCATATTTGGTAAAGTTGCTGACTTCGTAAACTGAAGGTCGAATGTTTGAGTCTTGCCTCTTCCTGGATAATTTTTGTTTTTTTACACACGCATACAGCTGAATGTTAATAAAAGAAAATAGTATTATCAGAAAAAACTTATTGCAAAATTTGTTTTTAAAACATATAAAAGCACTGGGTTTTAAAAATTCATTTTTAATTTTACTTGTTCTTTTCGCATTTTTTTTTAGAATGGTAAAGAATTCTATGTAATTAATTACATAGAATTCTTTGCCATTCTAAAAAAAACAACAAAAAGAAAATGACAGCTTTACTATTTCTATGAATTCTATGTAATTACCAAAGCTGTCATTTTCTTTCAGATCTTCCTTTTCAGCTTTTAGTTTGTTTTGTTGTTTTTAATTAATTCTAAAGTTACGGTGCAGTCCTGTTTCAAATTTTTCCAATTTGACCGTGCAAACACTTTTTCTTAACTGTTTATATGATAGCCGTGCCAATAGTCTTTTTTAGAAGTACACTGCGGCCATGCCTATAGACTCTATCTAAAAATATATATTAATGATTGTATGAAAATTTGTATTGTTAAAGTATTTAAAATTAATTATCACCTCAAAATCTTAAATAAATGCAATGAAAAATTATTCAAATTAATTTTTTCATGTAAATAAACCTTAAAAAATAAGTTCAGAGTTATATTAACTTACCAAAAAAATTATAAATTAACTCAAAGTTAATTACTATATAAAAATTTACAACTACTTTTTGATGATACAACCATTTATTCTTGTCTCAATAAGAAGCTAACTCTCTCTTATTGTTTGTAGGGGGTGTTTGAACTTAAAAAAGGACCTTACTTCTGCTACAGAGTTCCAGCTAGTTTGAAAGGTAGTAAAAAATCACTTGCAATACTCTGCTATGTTAAAGTGGGAACTTTGTCCCATCATTCATATATGAAAATCCATATACTAGCAGATCAAAACTTTATATTTTTTGATCTGTTAGTGACAAAAAATGTAAAGATCATTAAATATAGAATGAGGTGTCACAATTTTTTTTTTTTTGATATCATCAAGACCATATGGGTTTCTTAATCATCAAAGTCATATATAAAATTGCCTAAATTTTTTTAAATGGATAAATACATGTATTAAAAAAATGTTTTTTTTTTTCTGATCATTTCGTTGGATTTGCCACTCCTTAAAATAACCAAGTACAAAGTTTTAAGTAAAAAGGTTAAATATATTAAAAGTTATGTGATTTGAAACCTCTAAATAAATGTTGCAATTCTAAAGGGACAAGAGGGACCAAACATCTGTTAAAAGTAGAATGGTCATATTTCAGGATCTTCTTGGAGCCAAAGGCTAAAATTTTTAAGGATTCCTTTTTTCACTAAGTACTCTCTAAGTATATGGGGTGACATTTAAAGTTTTTTTTTGGTCATTTGACATGGAATTACCCTAATGTACTTGTTGATTCATCTACCCTTTGTCTTTTAAGTTTAACTAAGTTTAAGTTTTACTTCCGATCTTTCTTTGAAACTATACATTAAATCCATTGCAAAGTTAGCATCTATTAAGGTTGCATCTCTTAATTGTGCTCACCACTTTCTTACTCCGGATTCTTTTCTTTATCTCTATAAATCTCAAGTCTGTCCCCGTATGGAATAGTGTTGCCATATCTAGAACAGGTCTTTGAATGATGTCCTTTTTCTTTTAGACAAGGTGCAAAAATGCATTGTAAACATGGCATGAGATTGATAATATTTTGTGCACATCAAAAGCAATAACTCTTTGAGTGCCAATACCTAGACAAGCTTGATTGATTACTTTTTTTTTCCCTTTTTTTTTACTTTTTCAGCTCTCTTTTGATGTAATTCCAATTTGCTCTTCAAAGATTTAACTATAGTTTCATTATTTGATGTTTTAATTTTCATACTTACAGAATCACATGTTTTACATGTATCTTTTTGAGGCAAGTGAAAATGTAGGTTAAAATTTGTATTAAAAATCTTTCTAAAAAAAATAAGGAAGCAAGATTAATTGGTTCTGTTTCATTCTTACAAATTCTTTGTCCAGAATTTTAAATTAAGACTTGACAATAAATTATCTTTTGAAGTCTGTAGTCTTGAATATTGAGATTTGTATGATAGACCTTTTTCAAGGAAGCTATTGATAAATGAATTAGTCTCAAAACTAGTTTTATTGTAAGGCTTGTATCTGCCTCTCTTATCAAATAAAACATCAATAATAAAGTAAGTGTAATTTTACTATCACTGATGTCAATTTTTTTTTTTAATTGTTTTGCATATAGTCTTATTGCATCCATTTTTATCAGGAAGTTTAGTTTATTCCTTCGAGATATACAGTGAGTGGCCAAATTGTTAGTGATACTTTACTTTTTTTGTAATTTTAAAGTTTAAATGCATTTTGCAAGCAAATATATTGTTTTAAAATAATTTCTCTTGTGTATTTTAGTTACTGATGCTGTTGAAATAAATAATTTCTCTTGTGTATTTTAGTTACTGATACTATTCAAGTCAGTCAAGTCAGGTTTATCCTGCTACTGGTAACATGTAACCCAGTACAATCTGCTTCATGTCCTGCTGCCTTGTAGGATACGCCTTTTTAGACAAAGGCTAGGAGATGCAAACTCTGGCATTAAAACCCCCCTGCCTTGGGGCTCTTGGTTGAGTAAAGGCTAGAGATGGTGTCTCGATAAAAATACTTATCTTGGGCAGATATTAAATGCATCCGGCTGCTGTCTTGTAGAAGGCCTCCTAGGCAAAGACTTAAGGGGTAAACAGATTTTATCTGTTGACCAGCCTCGCACTCCTTCTTCATCTATTAGGCTTGCGCAGATGTATTTTAAATAGATTGTTTCCAGTTTAGGATGTTGAACGCTGGATCTTTTTGACTCGATGCATGGGTTTTGCTTGTGTCTCTGTTTTTATGACTAGGCAACTCATTCTATTATCTCCAAATGAGGGTACAGCTCTAAAACTCAGTTTTATGGTTCTGAGGCCGGCTGGTAGTCAGGTTTCCCGAACTCTGTGGTAGCTCTCAGAGAGGCTGATTCCATCAACAGCTGAAAAATATCAAAGTACTAACAGTACCATGTTGCGCATGGATGGTGTCCCTGTTTGTACTTTTGGTGTGCATTGCCAAGGCCACATTGGAGCCCTTCGTTACAGCTTAGGGTTTTTAATAGAAATGAGGCAATTGCTTGGGCTATAAAACAGTTTACTGATTACTATCTATGTTTCGAGTCAAGTTCTTTAACAAATTTAAAAATGAATAAAGTAACAAAAACTTGAAAACACAAAAAACCACAGTCGTCACTAAGTTCGCTAAACCTATCATTCACTAATATTTGTGGTCTTCGAAGTAACTTTTCTTCTGTTGAGTCATATCTCTTGCAAAGTTCACCAGACCTACTTGCTCTTTGTGAAACTAATTTGAGTTCAGCTGTCTCACCTTGTGATCTAAGTGTTGATGGTTATCTTCCTTTAATTCCTAAAGACTCCAATAGTCACATTATTTTTGGCATTAAGGCCCACAACTTTTGCCTTTCTCAATCGCTAACTCAAATAGTCAACTTTCCAACCTGCTTTCCAGGTAACCCGATTTACCTTCCAGATTTACCTTCTCTACTTGACTTATGTCTTGTTTCTGATCTTAGTCAGTGCTCAGTTTCTCCACACTTACCCTTAGGTGCCTCCGATCATGGTTTGGTCTCTCTAAAACTATTATCTCATTCTTCTTTATCATCAAAATCTCCTTATCATCGTACATCTTACAACTACCTTAAAGCTGACTGAGACTCTTTCCGTGATTTTCTTCGTGATGGCCCCTGGGTAGAAATCTTTCATCTCCCTGTTGACAAATGTGCTTCTTACATAACTTCGTGGATTCAGGCTGGCATGGAATCCTTTATTCCCTCTCCATGATTCCAGGTCAAGCCTCACTCTTCTCCAAGGTTTTCCTCACATTGTGCTGCTGCAATTGCCATTCGAAACCATTACTTCCATATCTATCAGCAAAACAATTCTCCAGAAAACAGGCATCTGTTTATTACTGCTAGGAACCATTGTAAAAAGGTTTTGACTAATGCCGAAGCCCGCTGTTCTCAGATATTGAAGTTTCATATTTCATCACAAAAGTTAGACTCTTGTGACTTCTGGAGAATCTTTAATAGTATCAATAATAAGGGCAAATCTGTAATTCCACCTCTTTTGTATGGTTCAGACTTTGTTACCTCACCTAAAGACAAAGCTGAACTTTTCATCAATATCATCTCTTGATTCCACTAGTTGCGTTCTACCTGATATAGCCGTTAAATAGGTTGATCCACTGTTCGACATCCATATCACTCCAGCTTCTGTATCTAAAGTGATTTCCTGCTTAGACTCTTCTACAGCTTGTGGCCCGGACAACAAACCTGTTATAGTCTTGCAGAAGTGTTCTCCGGAGCTGTCGTCTATCCTTTCAAAACTATTTAACAAGTGCTTATCAGAGTCTTGTTTTCCAGCCTGCTGGAAAGCAGCATCTGTTATCCCTATTTTCAAAAATTCCGGAGAGCGATCTGATTCATCTAACTACCGTCCCATTAGTCTTCTTCCTGTCATAAGCAAGGTTTTTGAATCTTTAATTAACAAACACTTAATCTCTTATCGTGAATCTCATAACGTACTTTCTGATCATCAATATGGATTTCGATTTTCTTGTTCTACGGCTGATTTGCTAACAATAATAACCGATAGGTTTTATCACGCATTAGATAAAGGTCGAGAAGTTAAGGCCATTGCTCTTGACATTTCTAAAGCATTTGACAAAGTTTGGCATGCTGGTCTTCTCTATAAGCTTTCTTCATACGGTGTATCTGGAAACATCTTTAAGATTATTGAATCCTTTCTTTCCAATCGTAGTATAAAAGTTGTCCTTGATGGACAGCACTCTTCTTCTTATTCTGTAACCTCAGGGGTTTTCCAAGGTTCAATCCTTGGCCCGATACTATTTTTAATTTACATTAACGATCTTCCAGATATTCTCACATCTAAGGTGGCATTGTTCGCTGATGATACTACCATTTATACTTGTCACGATAAGAAGCCAACTCCCTCTGATTGCTTGCAGGGGGCATCTGAGCTTGAAAAAGATCTCACTTCTGCTACAGCGTGGGGCTCACAGTGGCTGGTGAACTTTAATTTAGATATAACTTAATTTTTTTCAGACAATCATTATCGCAATAGTTTAGACCTTCCTATATTTATGAACGGTAATGTACTCGATGAGTTATCTACCCTTCATCTTCTAGGATTAACTCTCACTTCTGATCTTTCTTGGAAACCTTATATCAAATCCATTGCAAAATTAGCATCTGCTAAAGTTGCATCTCTTTATCGAGTTCGACAATTTCTTACTCTGGATTATATTCTCTATCTCTATAAATCTCAAATCTGGCCTTGTATGGAATGCTGTTGCCATATCTGGGGCGGATCTTCTAAAGATGCCCTTTCTCTTTTAGACAAGGTGCAAAAATGCATTGTAAACATAGTTGGACCTGCTCTTGCAGCCAACCTTTAACCTCTGTCACATCGTTGTAATGTTGCTTCTCTTTCTCTTTTCTACAAATACTATAATGGGCACTGCTCTAAAGAGCTAGCGTCTCTTGTGCCATCTACTAAAATTCAAGCTCGTGTTACTTGTCATTCAATTAAGTCTCATCTTTTTTCTGTTACTGTTCTTAAGTGCTCCAAAATCTTTTATTCGTCTAGTTTTTTTTTTCCTCGAACATCAGTTCTTTGGAATTCGCTTCCTTCATCTTGCTTTCCTGATTCATATAATTTGCAATCTTTTAAGTCGTCTGTCAATCATTATTTTGCTCTACAATCTTTATCTTTTCTCTTCCAGTAACTTCCAACACTAATTAGTGGTTGCTTGCAGCCTTGTTAGAAGCGAAGATGTTTAAAAAAAAAAAAAAAAGAAGAAAAAAAGTTAGCTTATTGCTCATTTAGCTGTTAATTGTTATAAAGTGTAGTTAGAGTTAGTTCAAATTGAGTTCAATTATTAGTTTTTAGAACAATTTTTTGCAAGTTTTTTGCCTTTAGGACTACCCAAACATAAATATTGGTTAATAATTCATTATTTTTGCTTTAATGCATAAATCCTGATTCATAACCAATCTCACCTCTTATTGATTTTTTTTAGTATGGGAAAGTCTTCAGACTTAAACCCAAGAAAATATAGAGAAGTAAAAAACATTTGTCTTCATTTTACACATTCTCAGAAAAAGATAGCAGCAATTACAAGTGTTTCAAAGTCACTAGTGAACCGATTCAAAAGAAAAATTGATACAAAGAACAAAAAAGAACCAGACTGCGTGGGCAGAAGTGGCAGGAAAAAAATCACCACTCCATGTTGTGATCATAAAATCAATGCCATCTGTCTTAAAAACAGAAAAAAAGTGTGGCTCTACTAGCTAACTTTATAAGCAATAAAGGAATTAAGGTCTCCAAAAGAACGGTTGGCTGAAAAGAATTTAATGGGTCTTTGTCCAACTAAAAAACCACATTTAACTGAAGACATAAAAAAAAGCTACTGGAATGGGCTAGAAAACACCAGAAAATGACTACAGATGGAGTAGAGTAAATATAACTTATAATGTTGTAAGAACCTTAAAAAATTATAGCTTTATAACTTAAAATATCTTTGTGATGTTTTACAGGTCTGCTTCTCTGACAAATCAACGTTTCAAATCTTGGTGGACAATAGCTCATTTGTCTTATGCCGACCAGGAGAAAAATTCCACCAGGAATGCCTTATGGAAAAGATTAAACATCCTTTTAGTGTAATAGTCTGGTCTTGGATCTCAGCCATGGGTATGGCTTCTCTCTACATTGTGGAATAAAGCTAACAATGTTACAGCAATCCTAGCTGAAAAAATTGTGCGTGTTTTGCTTTGGCCGGGAAATGCACTTGACATGAACCCCATAGAAAATCTATAATAGTTCACAAAATGGGACATTGTTGAAGAGATCATCACTACCAAGCAGCAATTGACAGAAATCCTTATTAGAGAGTGGCATAACAATCTCAATCCCCATAATAATGCAAAAGTCTGCATAGAAAGCCCTGACGCCTGAGAGCCTTTATTGTAGCAAAGAGTTGTATTACAAAATATTAGGTTTATTACCTTATTTATTATTTTAAAATTTTTTATAAAAAATAAATAGCTATGAAAAAGTAACTATGTTATTTTATATTTTAAATGAAACCCTCTAATGATAAAAAAAATAAAAAATAACTACAAGATACATATTTATTCATTTAAGTAGTTTAAACTTAAAAGTTGGTTAAAAACTAAAGTTTCGCTAATAGTTTAGCCACCCACTGTAATTTTTTGCTATATTTTCTTCTTTAGGTTTTTATACTAGTTTTAATCAATATAAATTTTTTAATGACCAACCCATGGAATAAAATATACCTAGTATTTGTTGTTGTTGTTTAATTGATATTTTCGTATTGCAATTATATTTACAACTGCTAACACAGTTTTTTGCAACGCTTTTCTTTTCATTAATTATGTTTCCTCTTTCTAAAATAAGTTTTTCTCCTTGTAAAACTTTTTTGTTTTTGAACAATTTTTTTTATGGGTTCAATATAGATAGTTTATAATTTTGAAATGAGTTTCCTATCGGCTCTTCAAAATGCTCACACTAAAAACTTGTAATAACGGCTGTATTCGTAAAGGAAATACCACAATTTCTATCATCTTAAAATAAATAAATTTGTTTATTACCATTTTTTATGCAGATAAGCAAGTGTGACTTAAAATATTTTAACAAAAGCCACTACACCAAACAAAAAGTGCCCTGTGCGTATTAAGTTTGTTTTACAAAATATTTTGATTACTGTTTATTGTGGTTTGCAAAGAAAGATTGTGTAAATCATTTTTTATTATAAATTCATTTTTTTAAAGTAAAATAAAAAGTAAAGAGTAAAAATTAAATTTTAAAGTTTGTTTAAATAATTATAAAAAAGTGTTAAAAAAATCAATACAAAATGTAATTATTTCTGTACTAACTAATAATAGAATAATTATAAAAAAAGAACCTATAAAAAAGTGTTAAAAAAGCCAATACAAAATATGTACTGGCTAATAATAGAATAATTATAAAAAACAACCTATAAAAAGTGTTAAAACAACCAATAAAAAATGTGTACTGACTAATAATAGAACAATGTCAAAAACAATGAAATCAATTAAAAAGTTTAACATGCCAATTTAAAGAAATAGGAAATAACAAAAGAATAGCTTAAAAAAAAAAAGCAATATGTAGACTAATTTTTATATAGGCAAAACTACTCGCTATCTTAAGGCGCCGATATCTGAACATTACAAGAGGGACAAAAAGTCATATATCTATAAGCATATCCGTGCTAATGAAAGCTGTTTTATGCAATTAAATGATAAGTGTTTCTCTGTTTTAGATTAAAGATCTAATAAGTTTGAGTCAAAACTTAAAGAAAGTATGTTCAATAAATGGTTAAAACCTGGTGTGAATAAACAGGATAACCATGTTGATGTTGAATGACACTTTCTGTTTAGCTATTACTTTCAAAACATATTGCGAATCTTTTTAAACCTATTTTTGTTATTTTCTATTTCTTTAATATGACGTACAAAACTTTTAAAGTGATTTCATTGTATTTTTGTATTATTACTAGTTTTTACAGAAATAATTGCATTTTGTATTGGTTTTTTAAACACCGTTATTGATATTTCAACAAACTTTAATAATGTAATGTTTTTTATTAATAAACTGGTTTTACTAATTAAAATTTAGTCTTGTTTATGAAAATTTTTACATTTTTGGTGCTTACAAATTTTTTGGATATATATATATATATATATATATATATATATATATATATATATATATATATATATATATATATATATATATATATATATATATATATATATATATATATATATATATATATATATATATATATATATATATATATATATATATATATATACACTAATATATAACTTATACTGCTGATTTAGGTGAGCAGTTTGACGTCATACTGAAATAGCCTGCTGCCGGGGGCTTCAGTACATACATCGACTGACAAATGGCATATAAAATCAGAACATTAAAAAAATTTTGTTTTTTTAAACATTGGTCCTAATTATGGTTTGATTATACGCTGTGTTATAATCAGAAATATACTTTATGTTTTTAGAAAACCTCGTGTTACAGCTAATATTGTTGCTCAACAGATTGCTTCGTCATTCCCTCTGATACCAGATTTTTCATCACCAAAGTACCAAAAGGCGAACTCAACCTCACGTAGAAACAAAACCAGGTACACCAAGTTGCTGAGAATAATATAATTTTGTATATTTATTTAATAGTTGATTTTGAAAACCCACCTAAGTCACTTTTTTGTGTGTATTTCTCAGCTCGTCGGCAAGTCCTTATCTGAAATATGTAGACCATCGCAGTCGTGTTGACGTTAATGTAACAGTTGGAGAAGTGACGGTTGTTATCTCAGACTACAAACTATTGCCCAAAACTGAAGAGAGTAAAATAAATGGAGCTGATGGATCTCCAAATATAGTTTCTAATGACGTTGGAGATGCAGCCAATAGTCCGTTAGCTAATAATGCTGCTGTTACCAAATGAATGATTTTAGATAATATATCTTATCACGTGATTTTCAAAGCTCTTAATTAAAATTAAATTTTATTAAGTTTTCAAAGATTTTACATATTTTTGAAAATCTAAGTTTACATAATAACTTTATGGATTGTATTTTATAATCAGAAGTGTGTTTTATTCAATAAATAAACTTAATTTACTATGTAAGCAAATATATATTAAAATTAAAATGTGCTTACCGCAGATGGTACACAAGTCAAGTTACAGCAGATAATACACACACGTACAAATTAACGCAGATGGTACACACGCACGCACACACTTATATACCTATTCAACTTGTTTTCATTATTTCATTTTATCAACTTGGTATATGAAAGAAGTGTATTTAATACCGGTACCTTGTTACTGAAAAATAATACTATTCTAACTTAAAAGAAAATTAAAATATTATCAGTTAAAGCAATTTATAATAATTAAAAATAATATAGTAGTTAGATAAAATATCTCAAATAAAATAAATGATTAAAACTTACATTGCTTAACTAAACCTTTTTATCTAATACAAAAATTAAATTTTGCGCTTTTTTTAACCTTTGTAATATAGGCCCCTAGAAAACAGATGACATTCATAGTGTAATCTTCAAAAAATGTTCGTAATTTCGCGATGTTTAAGTTTAGTTCAATTTTCGTTCTTTTCATAGTTAAGATTTTAAATCTACAACTAAAAAATGTTAATAAATTTCAAGTCTACAACTAAAAAATATAAAAAACTAATAAATTTTTATATCATTTTTCATACTCAAAATTTTTTTGTATCGAGATATATGTACTTAATATGTGTGAACGAAATACAGTAAATATTTTATGTATATTATGTGGAAAATAATTTACTCTCTTCCATCTTTAATGATCTCTTAACCTATAAATCTGGAAATAAATATACACTACATGTGGACCAACCCTTAAATTGAATTTTATTTTAACGATTTTCCATACCTCTGCATATAATCTGCATCTTTAGACAAGTTCACTATGCCGCCAGCCCATTTATTATTTAATAGGGCTGGTGGCATAGTACTAATCTAAAAATAAATTATATGCAGAAGTTTGGGAAAACCGTTACAAAAATTTCAATTTGAGGGTTTGTCCACTCGTTATTTTATATATATATATATATATATATATATATATATATATATATATATATATATATATATATGTATATATATATATATACATATACATATATATATATATATATATACATATATATATATATATATATATATATATATATATATATATATATATATATATATATATATATATATATATATATATATATATATATATATATATCACCATTAAGGAACTATCAGGAATCTCATTATCGGAGCCTTTTTGATGAAAAGTGTTAAGTGATCCACATTTTTAATCCTTTTTATAGTATGATCAAGGAGATGTTTGAAGGTCTTTGAAGAAAAAATATGTTTTATTGGATAACTTCAAATTGATTTTTCTATCTGAAAAAGTTTTTATTTATTATTATTATTATTTACTTTTATTTCGCCGATTAAAAAATATTACAATTTTTATTTAATCATGTAAAAAAATAAATAACATCGTAACATAAAAACCTTGATAAAAACGTTTGTATATATATTAGAAAAAAAAAAGTTTGAAAAATAAGAGACACCTGAATATATATATATATATATATATATATATATATATATATATATATATACATACATACCTATATATATATACATATACATATATATATATATATATATATATATACATACATACCTATATATATATACATATACATATATATATATATATATATATATATATATATATATATATATATATATATATATATATATATATATAATTAGGATGTCCCTTATTTTTCAAACTTTTTATTTTCTAACGCATAGTTTTGTTTATTTGCTTCCACAGGGTTGCCACCAAATCAGGGAAATTTAGATACAATCAGGGAAAATCAGGGAGAATTTTTTTAGAGATTTTTTCCTAAATCAATTTTTTAAAATTGATTTAGGAAAAAATTAGGGAACTTTTTTATTTTTCTTTAATGTTTTTAAATTTTTTCTAATAAAAATCTTCCTTTTTAAGGGTACCAGGGTTAATGTTTAACATTTTTAAAGAAAATTAATCATATTGTGTTTACATTAATTTAATGTTTGAAACATAATTCAAAGAAAAATGGTTAATTGATCCTTTGTTTGAAAAATGGCTGATGATAGGCAAAAATGTCCAATTGGATCTAAATATTCAGTTTTAGAGCAGCAATTTAAATCATGTTGAATCCAGATACTTTGACTATAAATTTTTAGGTTACCCCACAGCAAAGAATTTACTTAAAAGTATGACTTAACTAAGTATGGAAGGTACAAATGTGAACTGTTCCCTTCTTAATCTTCTTGAATTGCAGCATGATCAACAAGAGCTACCTAAACTTCTTAACGTTGGAAGCTGTAACCTTCATCTAATACATGGTTTCAAATCGGGTTTTCAATCTGCTGAATGGAATATAAAGAAGTTAATGAAAGCATCATGCAACTTTTTTTATGATTCTTCAGCTAGAAGAGCTGATTATGTAACTGTTACTAAATGTGAGAGTTTTCCTTGTGCATTTTGCTCTACACGCTGAGTTGTAGACCAAAAAGTTGTAGATAGACTTTGTTTATTTTGGGAGAATTATAAAAAAAATAACCAAGTATTGGGAGACTCTTTCTAAAAGTAAGTAACCAAAATGAAAGAGCTATGACAAGTGTTTGGGGCAGAGTTGTTAACAAGGCCAAAATTATCAAGACCAAGGCCAAGGCCGCTCATTATAAGTCCAAGGCCAAGATCAAGGCTAAAAGTTACAAGGGCAAGGCCAAGAGTTTATGGTTAAGGCCAAAACAATCAATGCCAAGACCAAAATTTTCAGGTCAAGGACTAACAACTCTGGTTCGAGGGATCAAAAGATAAGTTAATTTTGACTAAACTAAAGTTTTTTGGTTACATAGCAAGTTTTTTGCAGAAAATCTTACTGAGATATCAAACCAATGCCCAAATGATTCCCTTTCTTTTTGAAGATTTGTTCTCAACTGTTGAAAGTTTAATGGGTTAAATTATAAAACAAGATCTCCTTAGCATCGTTAATGGCAAAAAAATTAAATAAATTGATTTTACAAGAAAGGAAAACTTTTTTGTAAAATCATATCATTAAAAAAAATTAAAATTAATGATAATAGGATTTGCTGCAAAACATGACATTATCGAATTGAGGAAAAAGGATGCATTATCTCAGGATGTCATCATAGATTCATAAAAGATTGCTGTCTCATTATCTTTGGAATTCTGGAAAAAATAATAGAAAGAAGTTTAAATCAATTTTCTTTTCTGGAAGCAACTGCTTGCATCAATCTAGTATCAAATCTTTCTAAACAAAAAGCTGATCTTCTTCATCAGATGAAATCTGTACTACATCTAGTTCTTTCTTGCTCACATATTACTTCAAATGAATGTGATCAAGCTTTCATACAATTTTTAAAGTTGTTAGAGAAAAGTTCATCTACTTTTATTTTGAAACGAATAAAGTTGGTGTAGATTATCAGGTTTTGTCAAAAGTTTTGATATTTATTTTTATGTCATGGGCAAACATTAATTGAGAGAGGTTTCAGTATTACCAGTAATATACTCAGTGAAAAAATGAAAGGACTGTCACTTATATCTTGTCGCACTATCAAGGATTTTCTAGTGTCAAACAAATTAAAGGCTCACAAAATAGAAATAAACAATGAAATGATAAATGGTGTTGTAGTGCCTCATTATAATAAAAAAACTATTTGGAGGAAAATAGAATACTGCAAGCAAAAGAAAATAGCGTGATAATGCTTTTAGATTAGGGAATATTGGGAAGAAAAGAAAAAAGTATTAAACGTTGTATGTAAAACATACAGTTAGAAATTTATTACATTCATTTCATTTTTTTGAATTTCGTTATCTTTTATCCTAGATAAGTCTGACAGATTTTTAATGCCTGTTGAACATATCCATTTTAAATATACCCTGGTTCGAAGAAAAATTTCATATGTTGATTGAAGTATTTGATTATTTATTTAAATTTTTAAATAAATTGTTTGGTTAATTACTTATTGGGGGATAAAATGATCTGGGGTTATTAGGGAAGTTTTAATGCTAAGTTTGGGCATTTAAATGCTGGAAATATCAAGCAAATTTCAAGGGGAAAAATCAGGGGGAAAAAAGAAAAATTTTAGCAAAAAATCAGGGAAAATCAGGGAGAAAAAAGCAAATTTTTGGCAAAAAAATCAGGGAAAATCAGGAAATTTTGTTCCTAAATAACAGTGGCAACCCTGTTCCAAAATACCCAAAAATAAATTTAACCTTAATTGGGGTACAATAAGCCGACTTGCAACGAATTATGTTCATACATTCATACATAGTTTAATCAAAAAAGAAAAAAAAAAAAAAAAAAAAGGAAGTTAAATTAATATATGTTAGACTTCCAGAAAATCTTAAACTATTGATTGAACAGACCTGTGACAAAGGCGACAGCAGCTGGTTAAACACTTTATGCGTGACGCGAAATTATGAACAGGTTCAAAACGAACTCTGGACATAATTTCCCGTCACGGTGAGGAAGGAGGCGTGAACTTCCTAGTTAAATGCACTTCCGCGATGCTCTGTGACAAGACCGTTAGGACTTCTTGGGGCACTTAAATAACAAAATAAAAAAAAATAAAAAAAAGTTTTTCCAATTAAAGAGCAAAATCTAGATCTGAATAAGGAAGAGTTTAGAGACGCACTTAAATTGAGAAACAATATGCCACTTGCTAATTTGCCATCCTACTGTGCTTGTGAAGAAAAATTTGACAAGCTACACGCAATGTCATGCAAAAAAAGGGGCTTTGTGTGCAACAGACATGATAATATTAGAGAATTTTTAACTGTTTGCTTAACTAAAGTTTGTACTGATGTTCAAGCGCATTTAATTTCTTTAACAAATAAAAAATTCCATCTAAAAACTGCCAATGCAAGCAACGAAGCTAGTCTTGATATGAAAGCAAAAGGGTTTGGAGGAAGGGAGAAACTGCATTTTTCGGTGTTAGAGTAATACATTCCAAGTCTTCCAAAAAACAACCAACAAAGCAAAATTCCAAGTCTTC